TTTTTTTCTGTGTTTAGCATAATTACATACTAAGGATCGAACTTGACATTATTGGTTAAAGACCCATTTTACTTGGTTACGAGTTTTTATTTTTATTTTTTTAAATGTAATTTTCAAAACAAAAGCATTTATAGCAAAGATGGAGTTAAAATGTTTTATAATTCAATTTCAAAACATTTTTCATTCATTTTCAAAAACCAAGAATAAAGATTTTTAAATTTGGATTTTTAGTTTTAGAAAATAAACTATCTCTACATTTGCCAATGATTCTTTCTGAGAATTGTGTGACATCTTTCTACTCCAAATAATTAAACAAACAGAATTTAAATAATTAAAAATCTTTTGTAAGAAAAATTTTCTAAGCATCAATATAAAATGGTTCATAATTTATTTCAACAACTTTATTAAACAACATATAAAATTCAAATAAGGCACAAACAACCCTTTTAAACAAAATTTCAACAATTAAACAAAAAGAGTTATAGTTCAAATGAAATGCATTAAAATACTAAAATTAATCTTTGCTCAAATGTCACACTAATTAGAGCAAGATCCTTTTTTATGTCTCTACCTCATCAAATACAACTTCTTGTATCTATACTAATCTTGCAAGTTGCATTCATCTCAAATACAAACATATAAACATAGGAAGTGAAAATACATCTAATCCGCACGCAACATAAATAAGGTACAAAGGTAGGCACACACAACTATAACATCATTCACACCTCACACTCATATAAGTATCCTTTTATACAGCTACTATAATCATCTCCATGCATTCATTCATCATTCACACTTAGCAAGTCATACAATATATTTTAATGATAAATTAAGACTCGTGCAATGTATGCTCATAACTCTATTTGTATGTGACACCAATCTCCCCCTCATCATCAAGAATACAAAATAAATAGGAATAATGGAACAAGACAACTCCATCGAATAGTGTAGGGATCATCCATCAATATAGTGATCCCCGAATCACCTCAACTAGGAGATGTTAATCAGGGTGTTATCTAAGTGTTACAGTTGACAATGGTAGCCTCTTATTCTCATTAGAAGTTTCTCCACCATAACACCCCAAGAATACAGGTTGATGGTTTATGATATACTACTTGCATAAATTCACACTATTCAACAAAATAAAGTATGAATGCATGGACACAATACACTTAATACAACAACACCATGCATACTCAACTCTTCGAGTGTCACAACACTAAACTTACTCATCATATTTCATCATCAACATTCCCACAATATACAATAATTCAATTATTCATTTTTCAATTCACAACACTAGACTTATCCATCATATCTCATCACATTACTCATAGTAATTCAACATATCATATATCTATATAACTTTTCATACAACATCATCACACAACATAGCATTATACATTATTATTACTCATACTATTCATTCATCACATATTATAGCATTCATTATTATAACATCATTATCATAACAACTCAATTATAACGTACATCATTATCACCGAACCTTAAACATCATAACATTATGTACTATTATTACTTGTATCACATATAGGCACTTAAAGAATAAAACAACTCACTAATATCACTCATAAATTATCTTTTCTTATCTTAAACTTTTATGACATCATGTGATTTAAGTATGTTATTTAGAGATGTACCTATGCTATCAAGTTGATCTTAATTTTATTAGAAAGTTAAGATAATTATCTAAACTTTTATGTTGACCTCAAAAGTTAATTCTATCAACTACTATTTTTAAAAATTACAAAACTATAGTATTTAAGCTTAACTTTGACAACTTGACTTTTATTAACTAATTGGATCATAATTTGAGTTCTATACATCTTTTTTGGGTGATTCCGACATCATTGAAAAGTTAACATCCAAGTCTACAAATCTTTATAAATACCACAAAACTTAATTTGGTCATCTAATAGTCCTCGCAATGCTTATAAGTTTCAAACGTTACATTTTGTGTATAGAATTTGATACTCATCTTGTAACTCAAATAATTCAATTTTTTTAACATTTTTATGTAATTCTTAAGTCTAAACTATAGTCCTAAATGTTTATTTTCTAATCCAACAAATGAATCTATTTGGTTAATCATGTTGAGAGAAATCAGCTAAACACTATGATATATTCATACTAGAAACTTCAAAATTAAACAAATTACATCAAAACTTTCAAATCATAACCCCCAATATATCTATGCACATCCTTTTACTTCAATTCATCATGCATCGATCAATTATATTATCCACACTCAAATAATAATAATAATATACTCTCAAATCATGCAACTCATTCAATCCATCAAACTTCTCAAGTTCATACATATTATATCCTAATCTATAAATACATTAATTTATACCAACAATTCAATCCAATGTCAATTAACACTCAAATTCATATAGTATAAGATAATAAAACATTAATTCCTTCTTAAGCAGTCACATAGATCAAATTTAACAATTTATTGGGCTTAGAGATCACCCATTTACCCTTATGCCTCATATATGTCCAACGGATTCAACAATATCACTCTCCCTACCTAGAGTGAAGATTTCGTAGAACAACTTATTACTTCCTATAGCTTTGGTCACTAATCCATGCCTTCCCCAGTGGTCTCCTTTAGGTTTCCTTCTACGAGTGCTCTAAATTTTAGAAGATGCGCATAATAACTAGGGGTGAGCAACGGGTGGGTTTGGTCGGGTTCGGGTGAAAAATGTCCAACTCGTTGTAAACCGACTTTGAAAAAATGTGACCCATATCCGACCGACTGAGCTTTCGATTTGAGGCGGTTCGGGTTGAAACGGATTCGGATTTAAGCGGGTGGGTATAATCGGGTTTGAATTTTTTTGTAGACCAATTTATCTTAACGAAGATGAAGCTTAAAATGATAAAAAAATATTTTTAAAATAGTGTATAAAAATAGAATGAAGGTGACAATAGATGGTGTAAATAGATTCGTAGTTGAAACATTTACAAACTAAAGAAGCAAAAATAAAAGATAACAAAATTCATAGTTGTTACATGGAAAAGAAATATAAAGTTAGATTACAAAACCATAAGAAATCACAGTCACACAAAATGTACTCAAAATGGAGATAAGAAGATGGAAAAGAAAGACAAAGAAAGAAGCAAAAAGATAACTCTAAAAATGGACTAGTGTGTTGAGAAGTTGAATGAGGAAGGAGAAGACAAAATAAATATCTAAGTTATGAGAAAAAGGAAAAAAATAAGTTACAAATTGATGGCTATATTATACTTGAAATAAAGACTTTTAAATTTGGACCATTGTTGTTTAGTTATACAAAAGTAATAAAAATTTAAACTTATCTCATTTTCGGTTGGGTTCGGTTTTTAGCGGGTTTAAAAATTCAAAACCGAACCCGCCCAATATAACCCGTATAAAATCAAAATTTTAACCCGATTTACCCATAAGACCCGCCCGAACCCACCCAAAAGCAATATTTTTTTTCGGGTTTTTCGGGTTCGGTTCGGGTGTCGGTTTAATGCTCACCCCTAATAATAACCTAATCCCTTCCCTCTTTTTTTTTTTAATTTTTAATTAGTCTTTGAGTTGGGCTTAAAGTCTAGCCCAAAATCTTCTAATTTATATCTCCCCTTTTATTTTATTGACAAAATAATTTCTTATAATATTCTAATTTATTTATTATTTAAAAAAAATAGATGTTACAATCACCACTATCATTGACATTACCATTATTACTCGTTACTATCACTAATAATGCCACCACCACCATCATTAAGGTCATCACCAACACTTTAAACCTTGATACAATCACTATACTAAACACCTTATTGTCTTTGTTACCAACGACAATATTATCATCATTACTATCACCGTCATCACTAGTAGCATGATCATCACTACTATTGTTATCACTGCCAATATCATGAGTAACAATGTCAACATCATCATTAGCACCATCGTCATCACTTTCATTACTATCATTAACATTGATACTACTATTACTATTACCACACAAATACATCTTAAACAAAATTTAATAGGAGTAGATTTTTCTAAGTGGTTTTATTTTAAAATAAAAAAACAAAAATTATTGTATAGAAAAAAATCAATTAAAAATCACCTCCAAACAGATTCTCATTTGGGTGATTTTTAGTTTAATTTTTTATTTTAAAATAAAAAATTATTAGTTTCATATTTCAATTTTAAAAATTATTTACATGCAAGTGGTTCCTTTCCTTTTTATTTTTCATTTTTAGTTTAATTTGTATATTTTTAAAAATAAAAAATTATTATTTTCATTTTTTAGCTTTAAAAACTATTTACATGCAAGTGGTTTGGACGCCCATGAGTTTAATCCTTTGTATTTTTATTTAGGAATCTTCTCTTGACATGGACATGAGCCCATGAGTTTTGCTTTGGACGGGACGTAGCGAAGCCCATTTATACCATGACATCAAGATGGTTTTGAAGTTATCCGTTCTGTTGTAGGCGGTGTGGTGAGAGAAAGAACAAATATAACGGGAGGCGTATTAGAATAAAGATCCTTTCTACTTCCCTTTCTTTCCATTTTTTTATTATAAATTTTTTTTTAAGTATAAATATTACACTTCTTAAAATATGCATTAATTTCTTCAGTTTTATTTTTTTATTTTTTATAAAAGTTTAAAAATAAAAGAAATGAAGAGAATTCATTTTCGTGCATTAATGCATAATTAACTTGATTTCAAATTTTATGCGAGTAATTTGAAATATAACTCGCATTGTTAATTGCCTACGTCATGAATATTGCTGTAAAAAATTCAATTAAATAATTGTTCTAACATTAAATAGTTATATTAAATTCATTAAAAAAACAATTTTAATTTATGAAATGTAACTCGCGATTTGATCATTAAATGTGGTTAATAGTTAAAAACTTAATAAAATTACATATTAAATATTAAACTACCAAAATAAATAAATAAATACGTGTTACAATCTGGCTGATGCAAATGGCGTCGAAGAATAGCGAATTGGTTGAGTTATTTCGAGCGTCTTCTAGAAAGAACTCTATCCATCTATTTCCTCTGTTCCGAGCTTGGCTATGTTGTTTTCTTCTAAAGTCATTCGGGAAAGGATTGGGAGAGAGAAAGGGAAAATCGAAAGCAAAGGAATAAACGGAATTGGAACCCCTCTCGTAGCTAACTAATGGCAGCGTACCGATGGAAGAGCTTCGAGGAGAACGAGGATAGGCCCGTGAAGCCTCGTCGTTTTGGCGTCACCGAAATGCGAAGCCCTCACTATAATCTCTTTTCCCACAACCTTCTCCAGGTAATCCCATTTTCCTTTTACTTCATCACTCTATCGTCTCCAATTGGTACTAGAGGAGTAATTATTAGTTGCATGTTTCAATATTACATATTTCTGGCTAATCTAAGTAATCATAAATTTATTTATTTTTTCATTTAGTGACAAAGAATTAATAATGTACGGGTCACAAATTGTGTGCTGCATATTACTTGGTCTTTCTCATAAATGTGTAGGTAGATATAATCATATAAATTATAATTGATGAGAATATTTTAGTTAGATAATGTAATTTTTTCACGAAAATTGTTTGCATTATCTTGCGCTACAAATTATAAATTTAGCTAGAGAACTATTAGACCTAATCATGTGATTGTAGTTGTGACAATATACATAGGGTGGTAACTGGTAAGTTTTAACCATGTAGTCGTCACTGTAATTTCGATAAATTGAGATAAAGAGTATTATTTTGGAGCACTGTGTTTAAGGGAAATATGTTTTGTGCAGGATATTTTCGAATCTATGGGAGAGTATGTTGACGGGTTGAAGTTTTCTGGAGGTTCTCACAGCTTGATGCCAAAGGCTACTATCAAGCAAGTGATTGACATGGCCCATCAGCATAATGTTTATGTCAGTACGGGTGATTGGGCCGAGCACATGATTCGCAAAGGTCCATCAGGTTTCAAAGAATATGTGGAGGTCTCTAGTCTACCCATCTTATTATTATTTTTGATGAGTTTTGGTTTGTGATTGCTGGAGTTGTAATTTGGTTACATTTTTTTTTTGTGTGTTGTTGCAGGAATGAAAGCAGACGGGGTTT